TATGTATATATATATGGCACAACTTCTTTATCCAATCATCTATCAATGGGCATTTTTTTGCGGGGGGAGGTAGGTAATTAGATTTACTTACTTTCTTATTTATTTACTTCTGTATTTATTGTTAGAGGAGGTACTGGGAGTGAACCCAGGACCTTGTGCATGTTAAACAGGCACTCTACCACTTAAGCTACATCTTCCCTCACTGTTGTTGGATATTTAGTTTACATCCATGTCTTGGCTGTTGTAAATAGTGTTGCTGTTATGAACATTGGGGTGCATGTGTCTTTTTGAATTAGAGTTTTGTCTGGATATATTCCCAGGAGTGGGATTGCTGGATCATAGGGTAAGTCTATTTTCAGTTTTTTAAGGAATCTCCACACTGTTTCCAGTAATGGCTGCACTAAACTGCATTCCCAGCAGCAGTGTAGGGGGGTTCCCTTTTCTCCACACCCTCTCCAGCATTTATCAATTGTGGACTTTTGAATGATGGCCATCCTGACCGGTGTGGGGTGATACCTCATTGTGGTTTTGACTTGCATTTCTCTGATAACTAGCGATACTGAGCATCTTTTCATGTGCCTATTGAGGCCCCTGATTGTTAAACACTTCCTAATGCTCATTTGTCAGGGTGGTGTTTCTGAGTCTCATTCATGGAGAGCTCCGTGAATTCAATGGAACTGTGACAACAGGAAGTAAAATGAACACTTTTAAACAAACTAACCAGAACTTGTACGCTAATGTAAGTGCTACTTTGAGGAGGACCACCTCCCCCCGCCATGACCACATCCTGGTTCTAGCGATACCATCATTGGTCAAAATATTTCGGAAATTGCCTTCAGAGATACAGTCTGATGAATATCTTCAGTGGCGGCACATTTTTGTCTGTTGAGGAATGGCTGTGCTATCTGGAAATGGTTAAGGGTCTTCCAGAGCTGGACATGGAGAAAGAAGCTGTTGATCTGTGTTTCTTGTGTAACTATGGAATTGGGCCTGATGGTGGTTTTCTGAACAACATTCTAAAGAAGGCTTTGTGCCCCTGAGATCCCGAGATGATAGGACTGCCACTGAGAGTCTTATTTTCATGAGAGACAGGTTCCTTAATAACATGGAGCCCACGTGCTCCCAGTTGGCAGTGGCAGTGGCTGGGGGCGTGGAGGTGGGGGGGGAGGCAGAGCTCTGCATGAAGAAGGATGCTCCTTTATTCCCTGTGAACCGCATCTCCCTCTTGAGGATCTCCCACCAGCAACTGCTCCTCCACCACCCCCTCTGGGGCTGGGAGGGAGATGGCTGTGCTGTGTTGCTTGACTTTAATGCTCTGACCCAGAGGTCAGTGGACAGAAACACCTGTCTTACTGAGGCCAGGCTGGGCCATTGGCAGGGGGCTTTACGACAGGTGCAGGGATGGTAGAACTCACAGATCTTCAGTTCGTGGTCCCCTACTCCAGCTGCCTCCCCGTGTAGCTCTGGACCTGCCTCCATCTTTGTTTTTTAATTTTATTTTTTGATTGACATGTAGTTGATTTACAATGTTAGTTTCAGGTGTATAGCAAAGTGACTCAGTTATACATATACACACATTTCTTTTCAGATTCTCTTCCATTATATGATATTACAAGAAATTGAATATAGTTCCCTGTGCTATACAGTAGGTCCTTGTTGTTTATCTATTTTATATACAGTAGTGTGTATCTGTTAACCCCAAACTCCTAATTTATCCCTCTTCCCCTGCCTCTATCTTTCTCCTACCACACAGCTATACCATAAAGCAACTCTGGCCTCCATGGAATCTAGACTCAAGACTAAAGGGAAGGAGAGGTGGGAAGTTGGATGGACCAAGGCGGCTAAATTAAAAAGGGGAGAGGAAGTTAGAGGCTAGCTCACATCCTGACTGGGGTTCCTGCTGAGGCAGGGGACTGGGTTGAGGACTGGGGAGAAAACTTTTCAGGTGTCCTGGCTCATGGTCATGGAGGAATACTTGGGTGGTCTTCCTCAAAGAAGAGTCTGGCCTAGCTCCCAGAAAACACATCACAAATTCCTTAACAGAGGGAGCTATAAACTTGAATAAGCAAATCTAGCTTTGGAAGTCTATGAGAGCAATTACTTTTGCCTTTGATAAGTGGGAAATAAAAATACTGCCCCAGGGGAGAAGGACATGGGCAGACTTGAGCTTCTGAAGGTGGATCTGAAGCCCCAGGAGTAAATTGGCACCAAATAGCTTTGGCACTGGGATCCATTGCCTTCAACATGGCCCCAGAGCGAACAAGGGTTAGACTTGGAATAAACTTCTAGCCACCCAAGGTGATTGCTTTGAAAGCCAACATTCCTGCTTAATTATCATGACTAAGACAGGAAGAAGAGGAGAGTCTGGAACCTCAAAATCAATAGATTACTTGGACATGCCATTTATCTGATTACTTTCACTTCTTTCTCCCTATAGAATTTTTTCTCTATAGAATTTCTCTCATCTGAATTTTAACTAAACTTTTTTTTTCAGTGTCTCTGATTTGCGGAATTAAAGAATACTAAACAGGAGCGAGGGCAGCTTGGGAACCTGCCAGGGTGATGCGCTTAGATTAGGATGAGAAGGTCCTGAGTCCACTCATTGCCAAACTAATACAGCAGGTGTGAGATAGATGCTACCTCATTAACTTAGACCCACAACATCCCAAGAGGGAGACATTTAGTGACCTTTCAAGGGACTGGCCCAAGGTCATGGTCACGGAATTAGTGAACAGCAGTGCTGGGACCAGGCCATTCCCTAGTCCTCTCCACCATGCTTTCCTGCTGACAAGTTAACATCCACCGCACACTCACCCCAGGCACAGCACAGTGTGGGAACGTGTGTGTGGGGAGAGTATAGCTCAGTGGTAGAGTGTGTGCCTAGCGTGCGTGAGGTCCTGTGTTCCATCACCACTACCTCCATTAAAAATAAATAAACCTAATTGTCCCCCCAAAACAAACAAAAGCAAAAAAAAAAAAAAAGAACGTGTATGTGAGCACGCATGCCCAGTGGAGCTCTCGTTTCCTCTTTCCCCTTTACTGAGCAGACCAGCACTCTGCTGACTTTAATGAGAGAGTTGGCAGCCTTGGGTTTGTTCAGTCATATTCACAGCCACGGACTGTTTCTCAAACGTGAAGGACACACCTACATTACATTTGGCTTATAAGAACTCCTCTGTTTGTGCCTTTATTCATGCCTGTGTGTGCTG